AAGGAGTAGAGGCGCCAAGGGGAATGGAATGTGGGCCTGGCTGGTACACACGACAAGTGAGTGAACTGGAACCCATAAACCTAATGGCAGCGTAGCTGACACTGTCATCTGTTGAACTCAGCAGGTGGGTCAGGTTCTGTCACAGCCTTCCTGTACCACTTGCACCATCCAGTGCCCTCCAAAATAAAACACATTCTAGTAATCTGCCAGAGCATTCCAAACTGAAGGGTATGTCCTTGCTGGGCTATTTAAAGGCATGCATGCTGCCCTTTATTCTTCCACATGTTTTGGCTGGAAGAGGTCAGAGCCAGCTTAGAGAAAGCAGGAGGAAAAGAGGGACCTGGAAAAGCTTGTTCCATTTTTGGCCAATTCCTTTTCATCACTCTGTCAGCATAACACTACTATCTCAACTATTAAGACAACTACAGAAAAATAGAAGCTTTGATTAATTATCTCACACTTGACTAAAGAGAGCTACCAGTGACATTGCCTTTCCTCACTGCGTGCACGTACCACACAGTGATAGGCACAAGCCTGTTGTGCACCTCATGATTTGGTTATCCATAAAGTTTACACAGCCCAAACACTGGTTGTTGCAAGTCCTTTATTAGGAAGTAGCAAACACACATGAGGTCTCACAGTAAGTGATAAACACAGAAGCAAGTTGCATGATAGTTTTGGTGCATTGGCATAAATCTATGCATGGGTCTCACTTGGATTACTGGCATCTGTTCAGCACTACCTTTTCCCTTTCTGTAAAGCACGTCCCTGTCCCTGCTAGCACGCAGAGGAGGAGTGAACTTGGAAAGGGCTGAGAAGAAAGGGGGACAAAACAAACCACTTCAAATCCTGCCTCTTCAGCAATTTAGATGGAATGGACATCCAGAATGCAACCTGAAAACACCATTTTTTACTAAGAGCACTACTTCTTGCAAGTAAGGACATGATATCGCAGCCATGCTTAAAGAGGGAAAGCAAAGAAAATGACTTTTGGTAGCATGCCTGGAGCACTCATGGAAGTGACTTATTCCGTCTGGCGCTGTCAGGATTCGCACATGACTCACAGCATTCCCATTAAATGTATGGCAATTAGTTATTTAGTATATCTCAACCTTCCTCCAAGGAGCTCAAGCCAGCATACCGTGTTGTCTCATCCTCCATTTTATCCTCCATTTTACAATAATCCTGTGAAGTAGGTTAAACTGAGAGAGAAAATGACTAACTCAAGGTTATCCAGCAAGCTTCATGGCAGAGTTAGGGTCTGAATCTAGTTTGCACCCACCCATAGGGTTGCCAACTCTGGGTTGGAAAATTCCAGGAGATTTGGGGGTGGAACCCAGGGAGGGTGGGGCTTAGGGAGGGGCCTCAGTTATACATAATACCATAGAGTCTGCCCTCTGAAGCAGCCATTTTCTCCAGGGGAACTGATCTCTGTAGTCTGGAGAACAGTTGTAATTCCAGGAGACCTCCAGGCCCCATTTGGAGACCAGCAACACTACAGCCATACCAAATCTGTCCCCTGAAAAACCCTGGAAGCAGAATTCCAAAAGGGCAGTTCTGGAGTTTCTCTTAACTGCTTAAGAGCTGTTCTTTGATGGTTTTGAGACCCCCTACTCAAAAATGGCAGGAGGCAGCTCAGAAGCCAGAGCCCAACTGATTTAGTCTAGTTATGAAGGAAGTATCTAGCTGCCCAGCATAACATTCTGTAGGCCTGAAACATCATCCAGACCCCACTAATCTCATGTATGAATAACACGTCATGGTGGTGGTGGTGGTGCTGACGGTGACAGCTGATCCTCTGTGCTGTATCTCTAGAGACTAGAATATTGCAGCTGAAGTGGGGGTGAGGCAGTTTACGGACAGGTATTCATAATGTCATTACATTTCTTTTCTGATTCTGCTGGTGGCCAGAGACTAAAATCTGTTTTAGTTGACTATCAGAAGTCAATGCGGTAAAAGGAACTGTCTTATCTACTTTGTGTTGCAAAGTAAATATTAATCCTCTATATAGTGTGCCTGACATTCACAATCTTTGGCTGTAAGCCTGCAATGTGAAAATCCAAAGAATACTTGATGCTGTTTTCAGGAGGACTGTACCCTCTGTTCCTTATGTCCTCAGAAATCTTTATCAGATAGGCAGCTATTTAACATAAAGTACAGGGTAAGCCAACTCCACCTGAAACTCTCCAAGTATGATACATACATGTACGAGAGAGAGTGGAAGAGACAACACACACACATATGTTTGCCATATGATAAGTCAACACAATGACAAACTCTTCCCTTACTAGGAAGCCACCTTCTTGTAAAACACTTGGCAGATGGATCTGCCTGGGTCAAGCATATGAGATTTTGGTGTCACTTATACTTGACAGCTTTTGTCTTACTTTTCATGGGCCTGCAAGCTGCACGTGCCTTGCCAGAATCCAGGGACCTGTTTGACAGCAGGAGCTGTAAGTTCACCCTTAAAACTGGTGCATAATAGCCTGACATACTAGCCTACTCTCAAAGAAAATTGGGTGACCATTTGCAATAGCAACCAGTTCTTGTTCTGATTCTTGCTGCAGCATAAGCATTCCAACCTGACATTCTGTATCTCAGAAGTGGGAGGGGAGGGGAATATGCCTTTTCCTTGCAATGATGCTTGCTTTTATTTTATTTTATTTTTTGGAGCACCATGAATATCACATTCCCTGTCCTGCTCTATGTACTCCACTGTACCCTGCTTCTTTCTAGTAAGCCCAGCCTTTGGGGATGACATTGTACTAGATTCTGTCCTGCTGTAGTGTTGCAGGGACACATGGGAGAGGGAAACACTGCAGTGAAGAGCCTACACTCATGCCATATCTCTAGTAGGACACACGCTACTCTCATGTTGCACATTGCACAGCATTCTGCTTCCAAACACACATATACACACAGAGAGAGCGTGGGTGGCTACTTCATCTCCTTTCTATACCTCTCTTCTATTTTATGGTTTCCAACAAGGTAAATTCAGGTGTCACATTGAACAGAAGACCTTCTTGTAATAACGTTGTCTCATTATGGACAGCAGAAGCAGTATCAAAAGATTCTGTTCCAGATTTAGTGCTATCTAGCCGTAAATCTGCCTCTTGCTGTTTGAGATCTGATTCACTAGAAATAAGAAGCAAGAAGTCTCCCAGAAGCCCACCTTTTGAGAGCATGTAAGCAAGCTGCAAAATCCACCCCCATTATAAAGCTGCTCTAAAAGCATATCTGTCTAATTGTTAATAGTCCTTGGGAATCACTAGTCAAAATGAGGTAGCTGAGCCATCTAGTGGCAAAACCATGACTCTGCCAATAAAAGACTGAAAGATGGAAACGATGCAACTAGAAATGTCATTGTAGGCATGTTTGCAACACTCATGGATTTGCTTGAACAGATTCAGGGGGCACTTTCACAGTGATCCTTAAGCAGAGGACCGATACTTATTACTTTACACCACTACACCACTACAACACTGCAAACAATGATTATGAAGAGTTTGAAACACCATTGCAGGAGAAAATATCCTAGAATTGCCATGAAGGAATCTCATCGGGCTGGCCAGTAGCTCCTAATATCAGATCAATTTTATCAAAGTATCCACAGGCCCATGGTATGCTTGCAATTTCCTTTCTCAGACGCATGTAAGATTCAAACATGGCATGCTCCCTTCATACAAACAGGATACCGTGGGATTTTAGAACCATGACCGTCATAGCTACCCCTCCTGGCACAGTTCACAAAAACACAAAGCTTGTAGAGTGAAAACTACAGTCAAACTCTCACAATAAGAGCTTGATGAGAACATGATTGGCTCTTTGTTGCCATTCTGCCAATCTCTCACAAAGAGAAGAGATGCTATCAATATGTCAGGATATGTGGTGATGATCAAGAGGAGAAGCCTTTGTGTGACAGATCAGTTCCAACATGATTGTTACCCATTTTGTCCTTCAGCTCACATACCGTTTTGTGCATCAACAAGTAAACCCGTGCATTTTTAAAAACCTACTCCTGCATGGCCCTTGCTAAAATTGTAATCAGTATAAATTGCATGGTCAACCACACACAAGAGCACTAGCACATCCAAATGTTTCATGTGATCTTGGTCCTTCAAGGAAATTGAGACACTGGTGCTAAAACCTACTGAGATTATCATGGGCACATGAATTTCAGAAGGATAAACATATTCTCTGGACTGGGAGCAGTGTGTAACTACCTCTAACTTTAAGTATACTTCTAGATATTGGATTGTGTGGGCAAAAAGATACGACTATTATTAATATTTTTAGAGTTATTCTTTTCTTTGTTAGTGGTACAAACAGTGCAGCAGAATACTGACTGTGGCTTTAGTTTTTAGTCAAGCTTTCTGGAGTCATTGTTTACAGGCCTCATGAAGCAATGCTCTACATTCAAGCTGTGGTCCAGGGGCGCTCATCCATCATATCCTGAAACATTTTTTCTCTCCCCCCTCCCAATGTTTTCATCCAGAAAATCCAACCTGATGAAGATTTCCAGGGAACCTGAGAGCTTGCCCATTGTTTTGTTATATTTTTGTTAGTTCTAATGAAAATACATACTATAAAACTAGTATTTTTGGAATTTTTCTATGGCCCAACACAGTTGCCTACTCTGTTTCTCCTCTTACCTTCACTTTTTAGAACAAAAGCAAAGTAAAAAACAACTAAAGGGCTTGTATTTCTGTTATAGCATCTGTATTAACCACAAATCTGGCATTTTCACTTTCAGCCCAATAACATTTTGCAGATTTGAATATCATTCCACAGGAAGGCAACTCTTTTTTTACCCAAAGATAAAGCTATCAGCAATAAGGAATTTTTTTTTGCCATCTTCATGCCAGAATGAAGACACTGTTAATCCTTGAACACATCCCTCACATTCTACAGGAACTGTCCATTTGCAAACATCAATTTTTCAAATAACACTGATAGTGCCAAGATCTTGAGACTGGCCATACATTTTTAGTAGACCCTTAGAACTTGTGGAAGGATCATATTAGTGGTGTTAGGCCAACAATAACAACAACAAAAGACCACTGCAAGCAGCCTCACACACCAATATTCCTTCACACTTTTCCATAAAAGTACAGATTTGTACCAATCTCCTCAATTCCTGGCCCCACCACCTGCCTCTTCCCTCACTGTATGACCAGCCCCAGCAGGGAGGGGGAATGGAGAGGACAGGTAAGGGGAAGCAGGGCTGACTTCTGAAAGTGAACATTTTCTTGCTGTTATGTCTGCTGAGCTGGAAGTAGCCATGCAGGTGAGTTCCATCCAGGTGGTTCTGGAGTGGGCACTACCACCAGGTAGCTGGAAGGCACATATCCCTTCTGACCATTCACCTCTACAAGGCTCCACTCTTTGCTCCCCTTCTTATCATGGGACTCCAGGACAGTCACTGGCTGGCCTGGTGTCAAGCTGACCTCGTGGTTGCTCCTGCCTGTGAATGCATAGCCAGCCACCACCTGAGGAAAGCAGGGAAATTTCAGTTATAAATATGCAGCACCAAAGAATAAACAACTCAGACCTACTGTAGAATTTGGGATTGCCAAAATTCCAAAGACCCTGACTTTAGATGCACCATAGAGGGAAGCAGGATTTTCTATCTGTGTAGTGGGGCTTCAGTGCAGAAGCAGATTAGCAGGAGCTGAATAAGATATTCAAAATGTGTGAATATATGCATACTTGCAAAATTCAACTTTTCTTGGCACAACATTTTTATTTTTATTTTAAGTATAGAGTAAAGGTAACCCTGGCTATTATTCCATGTATTATTTCATGCAGGATCATTCTGTATGTTTTTGGTAGGAGTATAAAGGAGTACATGACATAGAGGTTTTAATCACATGGACTTCATGTGGCTAAGAGCATTTCTACACTGCTGGTTACCTCACATTTTCTGTGTTGGCTCTCATTGTTCATGGCACTTTGACCTATGATCATCTCTTCCTTGCCTGTTCCTAAATATCATCTCCCCCCCACCCCCGAATTCTTGCTTCACAGTGTCTAAGGCCTCAGGATTTGCCAGTCTAGCCGGCCCATTTCAAGATTATGTTGGCAATATTTATTTCCCACTTGCCAAGACCATCCTTTCTTTAGAAAAGCCCCCTGGGAGAAATAGCCAAGTTTGCATACAGAAAAGGCATGATTGAAGTAAAGTTCATGCTCCAAATCTGCACAACAGCACAGGAAATGTCATCACCCTCTTTACATACATATCCCATATTATGCCTAGGAAAACAAAGGAAAGAAAAACTACAGTGTGGTCCTACGCAGAGTTACTCCAGTCAATGGGTTTACATCGCATAGGATTGCACTGTTAGTGGCTGATAGGTGTTTCCTGTACTCACCTGGAAAGCTGGTGTAATGAAATTGATGGGTGGGCTGGGAGTTGCAGGTGAATTGTAAGAATGATGTCTCTTCTCAGCCTCATCATTTGGAGCCAGCATCTCCATCTTGGACTTTTGGTTTTGGACTAAATGATATGGCTGGACTTTCCCAGATGGGATGTAGCCCCTTGGTCCTGCATGACACAGAGACAGTCCTGGTTATGCTGAGCACCACATAAAGCCTTGAGCTTTCTGTTCATTACCTTGTGTGTATGAATGGGGCCTCACCTCTAGTTACAGTGCAGTGACTGTACAGAGAACAAAGGCGCCTGGCAGTCTCTGAAAAGGTTGTTTTGAAAGGAGGGAAGGAAGGTGTGGTGGAAAAATAGAGGCCAGAGAAAGAATGAAGATGAGTGGGTTGCATTGGCAGAAGGAAAGGAGAACAAAATGGTGGAGGTCTGGAAATTTATTTATTTATTTACTCATTTAATTTATATCCCGCCCTCCCTGCCAAGGCAGGCTCAGGGCATCTCACATATAATATAAAACAATTAAAACAGAATTAGATAAAAACAGAGCAATACAATTATGAATATGATAAAATATAAAGTGCTAGTTTATGTCAGGTTGCGGGCTTAGCAGCATCCTCAGACAACAGCCAGCCAATGGCATAGTCTGAGTTACCTGGCTGTTGACAATGTTGTTAGTGTCGGGCCAGGGCTACAATTTCTTCGGTGTGGCTCCCTAATCAAAGGCCTGGTGGAAGAGCTCCATCTTGCAGGCCCTGTGGAACTGTAAGAGGTCCTGCAGGGCCCTGATGTCCTCCGGGAGCTCATTCCGTGCGGACCCGCCACTGAAAAAGCCCTGGCCCCAGTCACAGCCAGCCTGACTGCTATAGGGCCTGGTAGGGCCAAGCGGTTCTGGGACCCCAATCATAGTGCTAGCTGGGGAACGTGTGGGGAAAGGCAGTCCCTTAGGTATGTAGGTCCCTGACCATATAGGGCTTTAAATGTAAGAACCAGCACCTTGAACCAAATTCAGTATGCTATAGGTAGCCAGTACAGTGATTTCAGCACAGGCTGGATGTGCTCCCACACAGGGAGGCCCAACAACAGCCTGGCTGCTACATTCTGCACTAGCTGCAGCTTCCGGATTTGGGACAAGGGCAGCCCCATGTAGAGAGCATTTTTGTTGTTGTTGTTCAGTCGCACAGTCGAGTCCGACTGTTCGCGACCCCATGGATCAGCTCCCGCCAGGCCCTCCTGTCTTCCGCCGTCCTCTGAAGTTTGCTCAATTTCATGTTCGTTGCATCGATGACACTGGCTAACCATCTCATCCTTTGCCGTCCCCGTCTTCTTTGACCTTCAATCTTTCCCAGCATCAGGGTCTTCTCCAGTGAGTGCTCCCTTCTCATTTGGTGGCCAAAGTATTTGAACTTCAGTTTCATTATCTGGCCTTCCAGGGAACAGTCAGGGTTGATTTCTTTGAGGATTGACTGATTTGTTCTTCTTGCAGTCCAAGGGACTCTCAAGAGTCTCCTCCAGCACCATAGTTCAAAAGAATCTATTCTTCGGCGCTCGGCCTTCCTTATAGTCCAACTCTCACAGCCATACATGACTACTGGGAATACCATTGCTTTGACCATGCGGACTTTTGTTGGCAGGGTGATGTCTCTACTTTTTATCATGCTGTTTAGGTTCGCCATCACTTTCCTCCCAAGGAAATCTTTTAATTTCATGGCTGCTGTCACAGTCTGCGGTGATCTGGGATCCCAGGAACGTGAAGTCTGTCACTACTTCCACGACTTCCCCTTCTATTTGCCAAGGAGTGATGGGGCCGGATGCCATGATCTTAGTTTTTTTGATGTTGAGCTTCAAGCCCACTTTTGCGCTCTCCTCTTTTACCCTGAGCAAGAGGCTCTTTAGGTCCTCTTCACTTTCTGCCATTAGAGTGGTATCGTCTGCATATCTGAGGTTGTTGATCTTTTCCCCAGCAATCTTAATTCCCGCTTGTGATTCATCCAGGCCAGCATTTCGCATGATGTACTCTGCATATATATTAAATAAGCAAGGCGACAATATACATCCTTGTCGTACTCCTTTTCCTATGCTGAACCAATCAGTTGTTCCATATCCGGTTCTAACTGTCGCTTCTTGGCCCTTATACAGGTTTCTCAAGAGACATGTGAGGTGGTCTGGTACTCCCATCTCTTTAAGGACCTGCCATAGTTTGTTGTGATCCACACAGTCAAAAGCTTTAGCATAGTCAATGAAGCAGAAGTAGATATTTTTCTGGTACTCTCTTGCTTTCTCCATAATCCAGCGAATGTTGGCAATTTGATCTCTAGTTCCTCTACCTCTTCGAAACCCAGCTTGTACTTCTGGTAGTTCTCTATCCACGTACTGTTGAAGCCTAGCTTGTAGGATCTTGAGCATGACCTTGCTAGCGTGTGATATGAGTGCAATTGTGCGATAGTTTGAACATTCCTTGGCATTGCCCTTCTTTGGGATTGGAATGTATACTGACCTTTTCCAATCCTGTGGCCACTGTTGCGTTTTCCAAATTTGCTGGCAAATGGAGTGCAGAACTTTAACAGCATCATCTTCTAAGACTTTGAATAGCTCAGCTGGAATACCATCACCTCCACTAGCTTTGTTGTTAGTAATGCTTTCTAAGGCCCATTTAACTTCACATTCCAGGATGTCTGGCTCGAGGTCAGTGATTATACCGTCGTGGTTGTCAAGGACATCGAGGTCTTTCTTGTATAGTTCTTCTGTGTATTCTTGCCATCTTTTCCTAATCTCTTCTGCTTCTGTTAGGTCCCTACCGTTTTTGTCCTTTATCATGGCCAGCTTTGCATGGAACGCTCCCTTGATTTCTCCAACTTTCTTGAAGAGATCTCTAGTCCTTCCCATTCTATTGTTTTCTTCTATTACTTTGCACTGTTCATTCAGGAAGGCCTCCTTATCTCTCCTTGCTGTTCTCTGGAAATCTGCGTTCAGTTGGGTAAATCTTTCCTTTTCGCCTTTGCCTTTCGCTTTCCTTCTTTCCTCTGCTATTTGTAAAGCCTCATCAGAAAGCCACTTTGCTTTCTTACATTTCTTTTTCTTTGGGATGGTGGTGATTGCTGCCTCCTGTACGATGTCACGAACCTCTGTCCATAGTTCTTCAGGCACTCTATCTATCAAATCCAGACCCTTGAATCTATTCTTCACCTCTACTGTATATTCATCAGGGATGCGATCTAGGTCAAACCTGAATGGCCTCGTGGTTTTCCCAATTTTCTTCAGTTTAAGTCTGAATTTTGCAATGAGTAGCTCATGATCTGAACCACAGTCAGCTCCAGGTCTTGTTTTTACTGACTGGATAGAGCTTCTCCATCTTTGACTGCAAATTATATAGTCAATCTGATTTCGGTGTTGCCCATCTGGTGATGTCCATGTGTAGAGTCGCCTCTTAGGTTGTTGGAAAAGGGTGTTCGCTATGACCAGTGTGTTCTCTTGACAAAACTCTGTTAACCTTTGCCCTGCTTCATTTTGCTTTCCAAGGCCAAACTTGTCTGTTATTCCAGTTACCTTTTGACTTCCTACTTTAGCATTCCAGTCCCCTATGATGATGAGGACATCATTTTTTGGTGTTAGTTCTAGGAGGTGTTGTAGGTCTTCATAGAACCGGTCCACTTCAGCCTCTTCTGCATCAGTGGTTGGGGCATACACTTGAATTACTGTGATGTTGAATGGTTTGCCTTGGAATCGGACAGAAATCATTCTGTCATTTTTGAGATTGTATCCCAGTACTGCCTTTTGCACTCTCTTGTTGACTATAAAGGCCACACCATTTTTTCTACGAGATTCCTGGCCACAGTAGTAGATATAATGGTCTTCTGAGTTAAATTCGCCCATTCCTGTCCACTTTAGTTCACTGATTCCTAGGATATCGATGTTCAGTCTTGCCATCTCATTTTTGACCACGTCAAGCTTACCTTGATTCATAGATCTTACATTCCAGGTTCCTATGCAGTATTGTTCTTTGCAGCATCGGACTTTCCTTTCACCATCAGACACATCCACAACTGAGCGTCCTTTCGGCTTTGGCCCAGCCGCTTCACTCTTTCTGGGGTTACTTGTACTTGTCCTCTGCTCTTCCTCAGTAGCATATTGGACACCTTCCGACCTGAGGGGCTCATCTTCCGGCGTCATATCTTTTAGCCTTTTGATACTGTCCATGGGGTTTTCTTGGCAAAAATACTGGAGTGGGTGGAATGAGGTAAGCCACTGCAAGGCAGACTCTTGGATCCCAGTGTTGCCATTCAAACCTATCAATGTGTTTTTATGGAATATGAACTGTGCAAAGTGACTGTACAACATGGAGACCTGAGAATATCTTTTGAGACTGCACACCTGAAAGAGGGACACCTTCCTTTAGTGTTGCTGCCACAGTGATGGTCCAGAGTCACCAGCCATCTTGCCTGCTGTGAGATGAAGCAATTCCATAAGCCTGTACCAAGCCTCAGATGCCATGCCATGGAAAATCATGAGGACAATTTTAGCATATTGTTTGCTATATATGGCTTTAACCATTGTCTCGAAATATATCCCACAATCCCAAGATTTAAGTTTCTGGAATATAAATTCCCATGATATATTATCAAAAGCCTTTTCGGCGTCCATAAACATTCATGCCATATTTTTTTCCGGGTGTGCCTCATAGTATTCTATTATATTCATGATTGCTCGTGTATTATTTTTAATTTGTCTATTCGGGAGAAAACCCGCTTGGTCTTGATGTATACTTTGGGCTAGAATTTTTTCAGCCTTGTTGCTAATATGTTGGCGTATAATAACCAGCATTTAATAGTGAAATCGGTCTATAATTTTTGATGTCTTTAGAATCTGTACCCTCTTTATGAATTAACGTGATTACCGTTTGACACCAGGACCCCGGTATTTTTCCAGTTAGCCTAATATTCTGGAGAAGTTCTTTAAAAGGCAGGTTAAGTTGCTCTTCAAATGTCTGGTACACTTCAACTGGTATTCCGTCTGTTCCCGGGGTTTTCTTCTTTTTCTGTTTTTTAATAGCTTCCACTATTTCACACCTTGTGATTTTATCGTTCAATATACTTTTATATTTTTCCTCTAAGTTATGGCTCACATTCCTTTGCACAAATTTATTTATCTGATTTATATCTTGCATCCCTTGTCTATATAATTTCCTGTAGAAGTCTTCTGTAATCATTTCTTTTAAGCCATATTTTATTTCTCCTTCTTCATTACTTAAGGCTACAATGGTACGCTTTTCTCTTTCTTTTCTTAATTTATACGCCAACCACCTAGAGGTTTTGTTTGCATTCTCAAAAAATAATCATAACCTCCCCTAGACTAATTGATAATTCAAGGCAATTTGGCTAACACCAGTGTGGGTGAGGCGGTGGGTCAGTAGTTGGTGGTTGACTATATCAAACGCCACCGACAGGTCCAACAACATCAACACTGCCGAACCGCCCCAATCCAGATGCCTACAAAGGTCATCCATGAGGGCAACCAGTGCCATCTCTGTCCCATGGCCTGGTCGGAAGCCGGACCAGAAGGAATCTAATGTGGAGGTGTCATCCAAAAAACCCTGCAACTGAATCACTACCACCCTCTCAATTAATTTGCCCAAATAGGGCAAGTTGGACACCGGTCGATAGCTAGCCAATTCAGCTGGGTCTAGAGATGTTTTTTTTAAGAGAGGGCATACCACTGCCTCCTTGAGTGCCCCAGGGAACAGCCCCTCAAAGAGGGACTTGTTGATCATTTCCCTTAGGGTACCTTGTAGCCCATTGCAGCCAGCTTTAATTAGCCACGAAGGACATGGGTCAAGGCTGCAGGTGTTAGGGCACACAGTTAAGTAATTTGTCAACCTCCTCTAGGCTGAGTGAAAGTTAATGGCAGGACCGCTCTGTGTTTTCTTTCTCCTTTTGCCTGTCTTTTTCAACAACTTAGGCAAAAGCTGCACTGCCTCATGTTAGCCCAGTATTCTGCATTATGAACCAAGTCTGCAGAGTGCGTCCACTGCAGCAGAAATGCCACCCCAAACTTGCTTGAAGGCCTCTCCCCCCAGGTTTTTACAAAGTATACAAGGGTTCTTCCCAAGTCAGTATGCTTTCTTAGGGTCAAAACAACTGTGGCTGATGGGGAAAATCCATTTGTATCTATGCATGTATTCACCAATTCACATCTAAAGCAGGGGTGGGGTCTGATTTTATAAAAACAGGAAGTGGAGCACGTGGGTGAGGAGGTCTAAGTCTTGCCCTGCCACCTACCTTACTTGTGGCACCCTGTTGCTTTCAGCACTTCTCATTTAGCCCAGCTCATTTTCCTTATCAGAGCCAGGCTGGAAGAAAAATGCTGAAAGCAACAAAGCAACAGGGAGCAGTGAGGTGGGGCATGGGAGGGGGCAGGGCACAGAGAGCCAGAGAAAAGGAGCAAGAGGTCCTCCTCACTGCCCTTTCCACTGGTAAAAGTAGGGTGGAAGGGAAGCCGGAAGCTCCTTCTCCCCTCTTGCAGCCCTCCCTTGCCTCACAACACAGGTGAGCACCCACATTAATTCCTGGATTAATGTACTTTGAGTGGCATCAGCACAGTGCTAAATTCCCATGGCTCATGCAAACCAAATCCCACCCTTAGTATTAAAGGAAAAGAGTCAATGGTAGGTATATCCCTTACAGTACCTCCAGCATCCACCAGCCATCGGTTACTGTTGCCTTTGGTATCCACGTCATGAAGGAGAGCCACAATCTGCCCCCTCTGAAGTGTCAGGTCCATATCTTTGCTGCCACTGATGTTGCTTGTCACCTGGTACAGCTTGTCCAGTCCATGCTTGTTCACAAGCAAAAGGACCCTCCTCTCCTCGGCAGGGCTGAGAGGCTGGAGAAGAACAAAGAAAAGTGGGTCAGAATGTAGAGATCTCTTGCAAAAGATGGTTCCGCTATCATGGTGCATTTTTGTTGTTTTGGAGAATTGTTTTGGACAAGAAGAAGAAGAGGAGGAGATTGGATTTATACCCCACCCTTCACTACCCAAAGGTGTCTCAGAGTGGCTTACAAACTCCTTCCCCTCCCCACAATAGACACCCTGTGAGGTAGGTGGGGCTGAGAGAGCTCTTGACAGAAACTGCTCGTTTTCAAGAACAGCTCTTATCAGAACTACGGCTTGCCCAAGGTCATCCAACCAGGTGCAAGTGGAAAAGTGGGGAATCAAACTTGGTTCTCCCAGATTAGAGTCCGCACACTTAACCACTACACCAAACTGGAAGATGGGTCAATAGCACGCCCCTGCTCTGTCTCAACTAAATCATCCCACAATAACAGAAACAAATCCTTGCAAATCAAACAGGTTATTTATAATAGATATCTTTGTGGACAATTATTTATAACTTCTTCTGCCACTTGCAAAGAGAGAAAATTTACAGAGGTCTTCTGGGCTGACCGTGGCTGTTGAATCCCAGTGTTAAGACCTTTTCAGACAATAATTTTTCAGCAAACAACAAGCATTGCAAGGGATACAAACACCTTTTTCTCTAGGAAGCACTTTTGCCACAGATGGCAGTGGCACATAAGACAGGCGCCTGGGCACTACCCCCTATAGAGGAAAGCCTGAACACCAGGTCCTGATGTCACAGTAATGGCGACGAGAATAGTCATAACATTCCCTGTGTGGTTATGTGGGGCTAAGCAGAGGGCTGCTGTAAAGTGTGAATCACACCCTGTGTAATGATTTCAGTTAAGTGGTTGTGTTCCTTTAAATGTTTTGTTGAATATAGCAGAGTTAGAGAGCTGACAGAAAGTTTGGTTGCTGGCACTTCGTCAGCCCAAAAAAAGTGGGATAAACAGACAATCAGGGCATTCTGAAAAGAGAATTGCCTAAAACTTATATTGTGCTTCATAACCACGTGAATGAGAGTGGGAAGAATAGGTAACCTGAGGGTTGTCTTAAGCGAAATATGTAGCTGTTGGGAGTTTCAAGTTGCTTGCACTTCAGTCAGTCTCTTTACAGAGTTAAGTGTTGTTTGGTAGGAAACAGGATCTTACTTTACATAATGTATTCTAGAGCGGGAAAGTTTGGGGGAGTTGTTAGTCTAATGAAGTGATCTGTAACCTTTGTATTGGTCAACCAGCAACTTGTTTGTGGAAATGCTTTGATCTGGTATTCATGTATTCCCAAACTTTTATGGCTCTTTGTGTGAAGCTTTCCCTCTTAGAAGCAGACATAGGAAGATGTAGCTGTGAGCATTTAGCATTTATTTTATTTCTTTTATCCAAAGTACCTTAACTATGTTTTATTTTGTTTGAATCCTTCTGTTCTCGATTAAATATGCCTTTTCTCTGTTGTGTTCCGAAATGTTCGTGGGATTTACAATGTTGAACAGAAAGTAAATGTTTTCAAGTTTCCATCTGATGTTCTTCTGAATATTGGGCTTTTGTTATTAACTTCTGCTACGACTGATATTTTATGAATTTCATAAGGACAAACATGTAGGCAAATGAAAATCGGCATAATATCTTAGCTTCCGCAAATAACTGTAAGAAGTCATTTTTAAAAAGATCTAAGTGGATTTTATCTGTCCATCATGAGAAATTCACTCCATCGCAATCGTCAAGGGTGAGTAAAATGTTATCATGTTAATGTGTAGCATATCAACTGTTTTCTATTACTAGGAAAGTATGATATATGAAAGTATGATATATATATTTTGGTAGACAGACACAATGTTATGTACAGTTGTTAGCTAAGGTTATGTGCAGTGCAAATAATTTTGGAAATTATGCTCTGAACTTCATAAACTGTGCAGTGCCTTCTGAAGAGCGCTTTGTAGTCTGGAGATGAGCTGCCCGTAGTTCATTTTGTAAAATTTTGTGAGCAGACGCAAGTTTTCATTGAGTAGCTTTATTCTTAAGATTTTGTACGCAATTGTGGAGAGGTTGAGTTTTATATGCTCCTTTTGGTTGCTTACATTTCTTGTGTCTAAGAGACTGTTGTAAGATACATTGTAGAATTACTCAGATTTACTCATATGGACTGTGTTTGACTTACAGGTATGTATTCTTCACTTCCAAACCAGTGATGTCTTATGGCAGACTGAAGTGTTTGATGAAAAGACAGGCCAAAACCTTGTTGCCCCTCTCAAAATACAAAGACTGATTGAGACTTATTTGTAACTGTGTTGTATGGTCTTCTTAATATTAAGCGTCTTGTGATTTTGCATTAAAATAGCAGGACTTTAACCAACAACAGAGGAAACTGAACCACCCAAACAAGTAAATATAGGAGCTTTCACATTAATTTGCCCCTGAACTGCAACAACGTGAGTTGAAATGACAACTGGTGAAATTTAGATTCATTGAAGGCCACAATGTGAAGTTTCTATATTTTCCTCTAATTTACTAATTTACTCAAAAGAAGTTCCATAGGAAGATTGATTGTTGTACTCTCGATTACATTTGTTCACAATGAACTTTGTACATCAATAACCAGTGTAGCTGGGTTTTTTTGTAACTGGAGATTATAATTGAAGTTTACTGTATGTGAAAACTTCTTACCTAAGTATGAGTTTGTGCATATTAATATCTCATGCTGTGTCAATGGTAAATAAAAAGTAATACTGAAAACCAGAAGTTGTTAAACTCTTAGTATTATTTGACAATACCATCATACAACAAACATCCACCACTTTCCCCTATTATATGCTTGTAAATTATACGAAACATACACTCAAATATGCAAGGGAAACTGAACTCAGTAACACTGTAAGCTAGTGTGAAGTGTCTGGAATACTGCAGTGAAAGAATCAAGAGAATATCTTGTTGAGTACACGAGAAACTGCAAGTTAAAACACTTGTGACAGTAGCTGGCAACTGCAGAGTTCAGGGAATGTTATGACTACCTTTGATGACATCACGACCTGGTGTTCAGGCTTTCCTCTATAGGGGGGGTGGCCTGGGCCACACAAATTTAAATGGAACCCACCCACACCAAAACACCCATCCCACTGGTAAGATCAATGGATAGCAGCAAATTAGCACGTAAATGCAAGAGTTAACAAAAAGATGTGAGAATGAAGCTATAGTCCAGCAGTACCCCCAAGACAAATCTCCAAGACGAAATCTTATTCCATTTGTCTGAAGAAGTGTGCTTTACACATGAAAGCTTACACTTTGAATAAATCTTGTTGGTCTTAAAGGTGCCACTGGACTCACACTTTGTTCTGCTGCTTCAGACCAACACAGCTACCCGCCTGAATTGCCCTAAGTTAGTGACTCTATTTTGAGTGCTGTGAGGCATATGGTTATTCAAGTGTCATGGGACTCTATTGGATAATGCCCATGCCATCCCTGGAGATGAATGGCATACTTTCCTCCTCCATGTGTCATCCAGCCATCATCCTGGGTGAAGCGAAAAGGAAGATCTGAAGAGGAAGCACCCTTTATCCTACCTGCACAACTGGACTTGGCATAACACTCTCAAATTTCCTGGAGAAGGAATAAAGCTGATTTTCAGCCTGGCTTAAGGTATCTTTCACCATCTTCCAGAAATCAGCTTCAGGAAGATGCTTGTGCAGCAGCTGTAAAGAAAAACCATAGAAATATATAACACATTTAAGAAAATATGGGAAAGAAAAAGGTAAAAGACTGGAAACCTGTAGCAAACAGATTTCTGGTGTAAAGAAACTATTGACTACAATAGTTTGCTGTAGGTTTCTAATCTAGAGCCCACTGCAAGCTGGATATGATCATATCCCCCCCAAAAAGACGCATGACTCCACAGACAGAAGTGGAAGAATAATACTATTTCTTTATGAGATTCAAGCAACGTGTCCATTATTATGACAGGGTAAAGGGGGCCTTTCTATTTCAGGAACACCGTATCTGGAGGGGGAAAGCATCTCTGTACACTCATGGACCTCTCATGAGGCAAGCTGCTGAGTGTACAGGGAAGATGACAGATTGTTAATGATGGCTGCGGTCCAAACTGGAAGAGATGTGAGAGATTTGCAATTAGGAACTTTGGTGTGTTTTTTTTTAAAAAAAAGCCAAAAAAAGCTAATTAGCAGCCTCACTTGGCAGTTTGAAAGATTAGGACAGGATCACTGGTGTTTAACTCTTTCGCCCTGGCCACTTGCATGATTTATTTAGCCCTTGATACCACAACAATTAATTCTGCAGGAGAGAAAAAAAGACAAGTACAAACTCCACAGCTATTTCGAGATAAATGCAGCTTTAGAAGAGTAATTTAAATTGCAGAAGAAGCATTGGAATAAAAGATTAAACACCCAACCCCAACCACAACAATCTTTCTCTGGTCTTCCAAGCAGATGAGTGAGGTTATCCCTGGCTCTCTTGATGGGCTCACTTTTCCTGGTAACCTCTTTCTTGGGCAGAGATGGGACAGGCTTTGCTTCTCTCCCAACAATCATATTGACAACACAAGTGTTGTAATTCCATACTGGGTTCTGTTTCTTGTTCACCCTAGCGTATGACCATGAAGCAAAGCCAAGGAACTGGTCTAACAGATATGACAACCTCATAAGACATCTTGCCTTTTCCAATCACTATGGGGTCCTAACCCTGAATGGTAATTTGCTTAACTGTACACATTAGCAATAATAAATCCACTTGAAGATTCCAGTCCACTGACAGTAGGATCCTATGCAAACTTGCTCCATTGGTTTCAATAGTCTTCAACTGGAGCGACTCTGCCTAGAACTGCATCATTTTTACCTGGGCCATCTCCCCCTCTGCCTCTTGAAGAACTTGCTTGGCCAGATCCCTCTGAAGAACCACAAAAGTATGCAGAATTTGCTCCAGCCACTTCAGGGCCACGAGGTTGAACACAGGAAGCTCAGACACCAGCAAGGAATTAATGGCCAGATAGGTATTCATGGTGGCCTCCTCCTCATATGTCACACTGCCTGTCTCATTCCTCTTCTCCTCAAGTTCCTCATAGTCCAGCAGTTTGTCCAAGCGCTTCCTGATAAGTGATTGAGGCCCCTTCAGAGTCTCTGACAAATTGCACAGTGGCAGATACACGAGGCGTTTCAGGCGTTTCTTCTGTAAAGAAGAAAAATTATACAAACTTCTGAAATATGGCTGTTCAGAAGAGGGTTGGGGGGGGGGTAATACACTGGCCTTTTGTCTCCACGTTCATATGCCTCCCCAACCAGGAAAAAACTGGATCTGAGGAATTTCTCCTTGAAGAGCACAAGAGAAACTTAATTTGGGTCTATCAGTCACCAGGAATCCTTTTGTTATACAACCAAACAGCTCAGCCTGAAGGAAACCTTGCAAATATTCAAAGCATTGCTTTACAGCAATAAGAACAGTGAACATATCAAAGCAAAATTTCAGTGTTCTTCGATCAAGGAAATGTGAGTTCTCTAGAGATAAGAGGACTTCACCCATTCCTATCCTTTATTGTTCTGGATTTTTTTTTCCAGTGCTACATTTTAACTCCTCCTTGATTCCAGTTTAACTAGGAGAATATTGATTCTGGAGAATGACTCATATGCAGCTTTCAGTTGCATCTTTTCTCCTTTGCAGTGATAAAATACTGCAAAAGTGCAGCCTTGATGATATTATGTATATGACTGTATAAGGTTTTTTTGTGGAATTTTCAGAGCGTGAACCTATACGCCTGTGCACTGATTAAAATGTACCCCCCCAAAATGACACAACTATATGTATAATCCCCATCAAGACTTATTTCTTTTTCCCCATTTTATTATGGCAAACATGGGTTATGACTGAATGTTCGTCCCTCTGATGGTAAATATTGCACTGGAATGGGTAATCAGATTCCTAGCTGCACAGAGGGGGCAGAGTGTCACTTTTAGAGTGATGGAGGGCTTGGGAAAGCCCAAACAGTCAGCTGTCACTTTGCTCTGGTGGAAGATCAGGTGTTCGGTCGCCTGAAAGGCATCAAAGAGCCAATCTGCCCTGTCACCAAATCGAAGGGCAGAGCCAGGAAGCCTCTGATCCACAACTGGAAATATTATTGATGAATTGGGTTATGGAGAGAAATGAAGAGTGAGTCCCTCAGTTGTCTTTGGTCCAAAGAAAGGAGGGGGTTGATGCTGCAATCCCAGAAAAAGGGGTGCCCCACCATGCACCCTTTGTCTGGTCTTGGTCTTGGTCCTGTCTCGGAACCTCAGGGAGGGTAATGAGCCTCAACAACCTTATTGCAAGAGCAGCAGAGTCTGGCCCATCTCTCAACAAGGAAACTGGGGATGTTCCCAGTCCTCTAACTAGGACTGTTTTATGTTTGCTCCTCCAGCCAATCTTGGTATATCTTTTTCCGACCTTTTCTGCCTGCAGGAGAGACTCTTTCATCAAGAGTTTCCACCTGCTTGGACTTATGAACTAGTTAACAGCAAATAGAAATCGTGAAACTGGCTTCTTTTGTGTATCTGTGAGATTTGTTTTTTATGTGTTTTGGACCTTGTAAGCTGCTTTGGGTTCATGTATGGAGAAAAGTGGTTTAACAGTGTCCTAAATAAATAAATTGCTTCCCACTTAAATTAGACTGTTAATGGAACAAAGGTCTTTGTAGAAACCAAAGTGCTTGATTCTTGAGATACAGGGAGTTTCTTGCATGAAGACTCCAACCCAAATTAGCCCTTAGATTGATAAGAAGTCATGCAGGGATGCTACCAGTCCGAGAACAAGCAAGCAGAAATGGGTAGGTTTGCCATCTCTTCTCTCACACACATACACCTAACTGAGGTGGACTAGAGACCATCTCTTCCAGTGTTATACCTGAAAAATTTCATAACTGGAACTTCTCTAGTGATGATAGCACTACTCTGGTTCTGACTCAATTTTCAACTGATGGAGTCTGAACTGGAAGAAGGTTTCCCCACAAACCCCATCCCACGGGTGGTTTAGCTTAGGTTCCAGTTCACAGAGGCAGGCACTAAGGAGTAAGCTGCATGCTTGAGGGGAAAAGATCCATAACAACATGCACCTCAGTCATGTAGACAGGACAACCACATAAATGAACTGCAGGTACTGAAGTCTGCCGGAAACTGGATGTGCATTGCTCTGCACAAAAATTCAGAAATAAAAATATGAATTAATGGAGAATGACTAAAGTGTTGTTTCTCCACTTTGAAAAAAAGATAGATGGTGGAAAGTGCTGTCAAGCTGCAGCTGACTCATGGCAACCCCGTAGGGTTTTCAAGGCAAGAAACATTCTGAGGAAGTTTGCCATCGCCTGCCTCTGCATAGCAACCCTGGAATTCCTTAGTCATCTCCCATCAAAATACTAACCAGGACCAACCTTGCTTTGTTTCTGAGATCTGACAAGATTGAGCTAGCCTGGTTCATTCAGGTAAGGGCTGAAAATTAAACTAGGTGAGCTGGAACTCCAAAATCTGGCAAGAAATTTGGATGAGGATAATACTGGAAGTATCACTTATTCTGACTGGACAGAGGGCAACCACCAGAGGTCCTAAATGGAAACGGAAAACTTCTGGAGCACAGGAAAGCATAGCCTTTATGGAACAAAGCAAACCAGCAGCACTGCTCTCCAAATCCCTGACTTGGTCCTCTCCAGCGCTCCTGTAGCAATGGAATGCAACTAGAAACAAACAACACTTACAAACTCTGGCAAGATGGTGCTGTTGAGTTTTCCTGCAAGGCGACAACATTGCTGTCTAGTCCCTTCTTCTATGTCCAGCTCATTCTCATGGGGTTTAGAGCCAAGGAACATCTGCAAGATGAAGAAATGGGCCTGGTGAGATAAAAATTACTTGGATATGTTTTTGTCAGGAACACAGTCCCGGGCATAAGGCTCACCTGAGCACTCAGGAAAACTATGAAGAAATAAAAACAATTGTTACTAAAAAGCCAGGCTCAGAAACATATTCTCATTATTTGTATATGCAACATTTTTCAAGATAGGTTAAAACAGATTCCTTGTGAAAGCAGAATACTTAAAAAGGAAAAGGAAAAATTAGTGGGAGAGAAGAAGGGGAAAGAAATGACCACAGTGGATGATTTTTTACTTATTATCTAGTTTGTGTCCTACCCCTCCAAACCCCAGGACAGTTACCAGAACATGACAAATATCATATTGCAATATTGAAGCTGTGAGTTATGACATACCGTACTTCTTACAAAGTGTGGGGGAGGGATAGTGGAACTTGGTTTGGAATTTACTGAGTAGATGCTGATCCAGTAGTTATTTACCATTTCTGACCTCCTCCCAAGCTTGATAATCAGTCGTTGCTATTAGCCTGGAAAGATGTTTGAAATTTATGGGTACCTACCAGTTCAGAGAATCTGAGAAGCACTGAGTTGCAGGAGAACCTAAATCCTTACCTAACTCACATAATTCAACATTCTCTATCCACTTAGAAAAAGAGCCATATTATCTCTTCCTCATAAACTCTTCCTCTTTAGAGAATCAGTGAAATACCCATGGTCATGAGGGATTCCTTAGGGCCACTTGTATCAATTTTCAGTGGCAATGGCATTTTTAGATCGATTTATGAAGTCTCATTTCAGGGTAGTTCTGGTGTGTGTATATGTGTTCATGCACCTGCATGCATGTACCCTTGACTGATAAGGACAGGGACTTATTGGAATGCAAAGACGAGGATCAGAAACTAAGAATGTGATTGATTTTCTGGCCACTGTCTAAACTCTCCAGATCTGCATTTTGAAACCTATATCAGAACAGTTCTATTTCTGCAGCTTGCGGATAACTAAGTTTCAGCTCTTTGTTTGTGGTAAAGGACTGACTTTGCAGAAGGACAAAAAGGACCTGAACGGAGGGATTACAAAACTGCTGCCAACCTGTCAAACAATGCATTAGGAGGTCAGCATTTTCCACCCTTGGTTCATATCATCCCAAGATTTTATGCATATCCCCAGCAGGATTTCCCTAGGTATAAAACAGGAGCATGTTCAATGTGCTGAATCTCAAAGGCAAGGGCTTTCAGGGTGTAACAAGAATTATTAACAGTTTCAAAGATAATCTTTCCAATTCTATTTCTTGCCAGCCATACTACCGAGTAGACTGGGGGTTTTGTGTTGTCTCCCCCCCCCAATCCAATTTGGCTGGTTTCCTTGGCACAAAGAGATAAGGCCACCGGAAGAATTTGGCAGTGCATAGCACATAGCTTAAGAGCAGCACAGGGTATATCGATGTGGTATAGTTTCTAAGGTTTTAGAAATCTGTTTTAAAAATTGCTGGTGCAATTCTTGCATAAAAATTTACAGCTTCTTTCTCACAAGAATATTTCCTTTATAGTCATTCTCTTCCTGCCAATTTTCTATTGTTGCACCAGATCATCAGATCATGAGGTGTACATCTGATATACGAGTGCACCAAGGAAGACTCCAAAACATAACAAGATGTTTGTCACAGATCCACATCTGAAAATTTCTGAATTATAATGATGCATATCTGCAGCCATTTTCTGTCATAAATGGCATAAATTTTACATAAATTAAAATAATGTTGGGTACTCTAATCCAACAAGGGAAATGTATGCATGAAAACAGCATGCAGATGTTTGTCACAGATCCACATCTGAAAATTTCTGAATTATAATGATGCATATCTGCAGCCATTTTCTGTCATAAATGGCATAAATTTTACATAAAGTAAAATAATGTTGGGTACTCTAATCCAAGGGAAATGTATGCATGAAAACAGCATGCATGGGACTTCCAGTTTTGGCACTCTAATGGCAGACGCGTCTCCCGGGAGCTCCCGAGGATGCAATCCATGAGCCGGCGGATGAGAAGGTGTGCGATTGTACGCGCGCCCCCCTGGAGCCTTTGCGAAGAACTCCTAGCCATGGGGTGCTGAGGATCACCTCTCCCCGGCATGTAGCCGGGGGATTGAGGGGTTCCCGTGCCCCGA